CTACCAAAGACTCCTAGTAATAGAGGATACATGGCCTGAACTGGCCATCTCCTGTGACCAAGCAAGACTCCAAGTGGAGGGAGTGAGAAACAAACCCAGCCACATAACCTTCAACCTACAGTCTGTTCTAATGGGATGTGCTGGGGGAAGAGTGACCTAGAGATTGAGGGAGTGGCCAACCAATGACTGGTCTAGCCTAAAACCCCTGACACTGCCTAGAGCACCAGGACCCTCAGGCTGGATGACTCAGAGACCTAGAATGGAACAAAACATGACAGGAGGCAAAAAAAAAAAAAAGATGCCTAATGATATCCTGCTATACTCATAGATTAGTACCTAGCCCAATTGTCATTAGAGAGGCATCATCCAGCAACTGATAAAAACAGATGTAGACCCACATCCAAATGTCAGGCAGAGTTTGGGGAATCCAGGAGAAGAGGAGGACAAAGGATTGTAAGAGCCAGAGGGGTGAAGGACACCACAAGAAAATTCACGGAATCAGTTAGCCTGGGCTACTAGGGGTTCACAGAGACTGAACTGATAATGAGGGAGCCTGCACAAATGTTACACTGGCACTCTGCATAAATGTTACAGCTGTGTAGCTTAGTCCTCTTGCAGGACTCCTAACAGTGGTAACAGGGGATGTCTCCGACTCTTTTACTGGTTTTTGGCACCCTACTCCCTGTACTGAGTCTCCTTGCCCAGCTTTAATACATGAGGAGGAGCTTAGTTTTGCTGCAACTTGATACACCATGTTTTGTTGATACTCATGGGAGACCTCCCTTTCCTAAACAGAAATAGAGGAGGAGTGGATTGGGGATGGGAACAGAGGAGTGGGGTGGGGGAATGAACTGGGCGGAGAAGGGGGAGAGCAAACTGCACTGTGACTGGGATGTAAAATAAAAAAATTAAATCATATTATTCATGAATTAATTTGGTGTAGCTCTATGTATGTGTTCACACTATGGCATGCACATGAAGGTCAGAGAATTCCTTTCAGGAATTGATTCTCTGTGTTCATTCTGTAGATTCCAAGGATCAAACACAGGTGGTCAGGCTTGGAAGCAAGTACTTTAACCTGCTAAACCAACTCAATCAGCCCCATTAAATGCTTTATAAATGCATTTTATTAGGGATGCAGTTTATTTAGTCACTCTCCTATTGTTTATCTTTAAACATCAACTAATCTTTAACTACAAACCTAGTTATTGCTTTATTGTAGATTTCTACCAATCTGGGCTGGAAGAAAAGGATACTTTTTGATTTCTGTAGACTTGGTGATGATGTTTTCAGGAAAGTGTACTGTCCCTATAGGAAGATGTTTTTCTCACCAATATTCTTACAGGGCCACGCACCATCTTTATAGAAGAGTATTTGGCATTTTAGAACTAGATTTACTTTTTATGAGTTGAGCACTTTTTCGTAGGGATATTGCTTCTATGTTTCTATTGTGAATTGTCTAGCCGTGGCCCATTTTTCCATAGGAGTATGAAATAACACATATTTTGACAGCAGGTTTCAACACACATGGGAAAAAGCTATATTCATGGAATGTGCCTTTGAACCTGTATTCAAAAAATCTCAGGCAGAGGTTAGTGGAGAATAAAGCAGAGTTGCTTTTGCTTAATGACACAGGTGGGGAAAGAATTTGTAGAACATGTTTTTCTTGAAAATAAAATATCTGTGGCTCACCATGTGGGCACAGGAACAAATCTACAAATCGGCTCAGAAGTGCTTTCATAGCTGGAGCCGCTGGGTGCATGGTATAAATATCTGCCTTTTGTATCACAACATCCCTGTAGAAGGGAAGAACTAACCGTGCTTTCAAGACTAAATTTAGGAATTGATAATTCACAGGGCAGAGAAGCTAGAAACTTCAGAGACATCTTTGGCATATCCCCTGCCTGATTGCTAACCGGTTCCTGGCAGTTTTTCCTGAGTGTCAATGCAATACATCCTTCTGGAACCATCCTCTTGCCATTACATTAGGCAGAGTTATGACACCTCACCAAGACCTCTGCAGGAGCTTCCTGAAGTCTAAAATCACTCCCAATTAGTGGCTGTCCTTGAATTAATGAAGAATTATACTTACTAAGTATGATTGTTTGCCCTCAAATAGAGCAGGAAAAGCAATAGAGAAGATGTGGATAATAGAGTATGCAAAATGTTACGCATAGTTCATGAAAGAAAAGCTAAACCATTTCTTTATATTCTACCAGTCTTTCCACTTAAATAAAAATGGGATCACCCTGCTTCTATGCAGAATCTCTGCTATTTTCAGGGCAGTGTTGTTATTGTAAATTCATTGTGTATTGTCTTAGATATTTCTTCATGAGAATTTTTGAGTACCTATGTGCCATGATATGGGCATATAGGTCACCTGCAATATTTGCTATTATAAGCAATGTCACAGAAATCATCTTCATAATTACTTTTTTTTCAATTTTTTTCTTTCATTATTTAAAAATGTTACTTTTTAATTTGCTTCCAAAGTAGCTATGAGGGGCCTGCTGTCTATCCCATTCTCATCCTGATGACAAGGGAGTAGCTCTTATTTACTTTTTGACTGAATTATTTACTCCCCATGTGAATTTTCTTTACCTCTCTTGTTTGGTGGTCTATAATTACTCATTCTTGGGTCCCACACTTTTCAAAACAGCTGGGACATTTCTCCCCATTATTTCTTTAAATAGTTCATCATATTTTTCTCTTCCTCCTGGGACTTCAGATAATGGCGGTTCTGTCTTCTATACCACTTTGCTTTCTTGGGTACCTCCTCTTTATTCTTTCCTTCTGCCATCAGGGAGAGTTTCTCAGTCTGATCCTTCAGTTCATTAGCTGTTTCTTTAGCTGTGTTCATCGAACTCTACCATATCATCACCCTTGCGACTATTTCCTCATAACATGCACTTGTCTCACACCTGTTTTAGACTCCTCGTCTGCCCTAAACATGCATTCACAAAGATATACGTAATGCATGTATTCCATGAAGCTGATGAATGCAACAGTTAGACACATCCTTACAGACCACAATTCCATGTCTTTTTCTGGTTATCTACCACTCTGCTGTTGTGTGCGCAGTGGAAGAACCGAGGTACTCAAGTCCTACTTCAGATAGACCAGGGAAGTCTATGAAAGAGAAGTATAAGCCTAGCACATAGCTGCAAATAAACACCCAGTTGTTGTCGCCCACTCTATTTGACTGCAACCCCACCAAGAAAGTCCTTTCAGAAAGTCTTCCCTTAGTAGCAAAGCCAATGGAAGAGTCAGCATCATAGTCCACCAGGCGTGGGGCTCAGATGGAAATGCACATGACTGAGTGAAGAAAGCGGCTGTGCAGGAATCTGTTCACCCATAATTCTTTAACCCTTGGGAACTTTTGCTGTCTCACCTTGATCTATATCTCAGATCCAGATACCCAAAGTCTGTGCCAACAGCTAAACATCAGGCATTCATGGTTTGTACATGGTAGCAGGAAAGATCAAAACAAAAATTAAAACTTTCACCCGCAATTTATGTTTTCACATCCATATCCAATCACCCCGTACCTCTGGTGATGTCACTCATGCTTTTTTGTATGTATCCAGCCAATGCCACAGACTCAAAAGTCAGATCTCCTGCATGCTCCCACACTGGTGTTGCACATTATTGTGATATTGTTTGCCTCTGGAGCCTGTTTCCCATTTTTTTCTTATTGTCTCTAGGACTGATGTTGGACAGAATGTCCAGTAGTAGTCCTTCTTATTTTCCATCTTGATGGACTACAGAAGCTTAAAATGCAATATTGATTCATATCCATGCCAGATTCTCTGAGATAAGTCCCATGGAACAGCATGTGTAAGTCATTAGGGCTTGCCAAATGGCCAGAATTATACATTGAAATAAATATATTGATCAGTCTTTTATACCTAATCATGTTTGTTCAATTTGGTGTCTTCATAAAGAGACTGTTATGAAATTAGGTGTGTCATAGCCAACTATACTGGATATTTCTCATACAACGAACCACCTCTTTCCTATCTCTGCTCTTGTTGCTTATAATAGCATTGGCTTTGTTCTTTGCTGGGTTTCCTTTTAATATAGATTATAGATGCTTTCCCTAGTCCCCAGTCACTCTCCACTTATATTTTGTGACTTCCACTGTACAGCATTTTGGTCATAGATATATTGCAGTACAATATGTTTTAATTACCAACTTTTATAGCTGAAGGATCCCCTACTGTAGCTAGAGTTTTCCTGCCTTGCCCACAGTCAGGACAAATCTTTGTCACCCACCAGTCCCACAGCTGCTCAGACCCAACCAAGTAAACACAGAGATTTATATTGCTTACAAACTGTATGGCCATGGCAGTCTTCTTGCTAACTGTTCTTATAGCTTAAATTAATCCATTTCCATAAATCTATACCTTGCCACATGGCTCGTCGCTTACTGGCATCTTCACATGCAGCTTGTCCTGGCAAGTGGCTGGCAGTGACCCTTCTGCCTTCCTGTTCTTTTTTTTTTCTCCTCTCTGTTAGTCCCACCTATACTTCCTGCCTAGCCACAGCCAATCAGGTTTTATTTACTGACCAATCAGAGCAACATATTTGCCATACAGACCATCCCCCAGCACAGCAAAGTGCAGACCATCTCAGACACCTGCACTCAGGCCCGTGGTCCTAATCATCCTCTATGCGGACCTGCTGGGTAAAGTCATGAGGAACCCAAGAACGGGCTCCCACAGGACATACAGAACATCCCTTACAGGACACACAGCACCCTACGCTGTGACACTCTTCTGGGTAGAGACTATCTCTGTCATCTTAGCTTGCCAGGACTTTGAGGTTGGCCATCTATATTGGCAGAACCAACAAATGAATTTACAAATACTCAACAGAGCCCAAATATAGTGTGTAAAACACTTTTAAGCACTTTTATTCAGCTTTCAACACCACTTGTGTTATCATCTCTACTTTGTAGATGTGACAGCTGAAGTTAAAGAGAAGAACAGGAAGCTTACCCAAAGTAATGCTAGGATGTGAATTCCTGTGAGTTCCAAGGTTGAGATTTGATCATCAGGACCCATAGTTCTTGCTGGTTCTGTGGATAGAGAAACTTAGGAATATTAGTCAATAAAGAAGATTGACATTTTTCATTGGCAGCTGCTATTTCCAGTATTTGAGAAATACTGGCCAGCTATTTCAAAATAAACCTGAAACTAAAACGATTAAATTATGTTCATTGTGAGAAATAAACTAAACGGCTCCTTTTATAATAATCATGCTGAGAGACTATCAAAGAACTGGCTTGAAAACATTCATTCTCCACATGTGACCTGCCCATGTGCCCATTTCACAGTCCCACCTTCAACTGCCCTTTAGCTTGTAGAGAATTTTTGTTATTTCATGGTAAGGGACAGGATGGAGATCTAGTGTTAAAAGAAAAACAATTCTAATAGAACATTACTTGAGGTAATGAGTTGAGTCCTGACTATGTGCTCTTTCATCTCTGCTACTGCCCCAAGAAATTTGAAGTAAAAATGATTCTCACCAAACAAAGTGCTCAGGAACATCCTGAAAGCATACACTGGGTTGTCGAATTCTGATGTCCTGATGGATACATATAAGATGACGCACAGTATTTCCAGGTCAAGTTTTCAATGGTCTCTATCATCTCCTGCCTGGCCGTCAACCAGACCAAGAAAGTGGAATGGATGGCCTATGCCACCTGATCTGCTCTGCCATCCTCTTGTTTTTACAGGCATGGAGACATAGTCCAAGGTAAATGTCACTGATATGTATTCCCCTAAAGCTGAATAAAAACAAAGGCAGAGTTTATTGATTTTTTAAAATTAATTTCTTTCTGCCAGACTTCATTTAGGCTCATTGCCTACTTACTTTGAGACCACCTGGGCAAGCAGAAATTTCCATAGCAGATTCGAAACATGGGGAAGCAAAACAATAAAGATCTTTAAAGGGTACATGTCGATAGCTCTCCTGGCTAAGGGGAGAAACAGAACTACTAAAATGTTCTGGAGGTACATGGAACATGACTAGACTCAGCTGTCACTCTCCTTCCTGAAGCTGGAGATTCTTGTTTTGGAAGATTCTTGGTCTGGTCACAAATTTCCATTCCCATTTATATACCGTAAATATCCATTGCATTAAATGCATGACATTCAGGGCACTTTGGCAAAATATATGTTGGGATTATTAAACACAAAAGATAAAAAAAAAATCCTATCACCTTGAAGTTTCTTGTAAAAAAAAAAAGCCACTCTTAGAGAATAAACGAAATATAATGGCCACAAACACAGAGTTCAAAGGCTACCAAAGGTCGAAATATGATTCAACCTTATGATATAGTGTAAACATTTAGTCAAGGGTGTTTTGACTTAGAAGTCAGAAATTTTTCAGATTCAGAGTGTTCTGAATCCTGAGTGTGTGTTTCAATTTGAAAGTCAAATGTAAAGGACCATTTCAGAAAGAAGACAGTTGCAGGAGAGGGGTCACCATCTAGTCTTCTTTCTTCAGGAAACATTGTAAAATTAACCTTTGGAGCCGTTCTTCTTTGCTGCGTCCTCTAATAGAAGCAGTGACAATGGCCTGCAACAGGTCCAAATTGTGTCACTTGGCAAGATGAGAAGTTGTGATTTATGTCTGCTCAGGGAGAAATGACCCCATGGATGGTACAAACCTTCCAACTCCTGGGTCCTGATCCTGAGAGCAGAGATAAACCAAATTAGATGCAACCTAATATGCAGAACCTGATGCCTGTGCCATGCATATTACAGGACTGAATGTTTTACTTTATTCAAACCAGAGAATTTTATTTAACTAAAGCTTTTTCTCTTTCTTTCTCTCTCAACGCCCACACACAGAGTGTACGCACACACGAACTGTTTTTAATAACTTAGAAAAAATGCAAACTTCAAACTCGTATCACAATATCCCAAAGATGGCCCAGGTCTGGTTGCTAGGCAGATATCCCTGTTGCCTATGCAAACGTATGGTAGGCCACAATTGTTTTGTGCAAGGGAACAGATAAATGACATGGATTGAAATGATGGTAAATTTAAATTGATGGCCTAATTAGTATTATCTCTTTTTGTATTCGTTGTAAGAAAAATTATCCAGGAGGAACTCATTTTGCATTAATGTTGATATAAAGTGTAATTCTCCAGGATTTTCATTGTAATTTGGCATTAATTAATGCATCATTATTTTAAAGTGTTAATTAAATTGTTACAGAAAGGGACATCTGCAGTGGCTCAGAAAGGAAATCACATGAACAATTAGTTTTGTGGCGGTCTGGGGTGCTGCATCTGAGATCATACACAGGGCAGCAGCAGAAAGACCAAAGGACACTTGGACAAGAAGAGCCTTGCCCGGTGTGGCACCATGAGGTCTGGACACCCTGTGACCACTTCTCCTTGGTCACTATGTCCATGGGAAGCGTAGGCAGTCTCTAGTGCATGGAATCTTTACTCTGTGCTTCAGATCAGATTCGTGTCTGGAATATAGCTCTGGTTTGATTTTTCTGGGCATTTGGCAGATGTCACTCACACTTCTCTGTGTCAATAAAAAGAATACATGACTCCTTCTGGGCACTAAGTGAAGGTCTCAACAGAGGCTGTTGCAGACAGGCAGGTTAATATTTTTACTAGTCATAAATTCCATACAAAACAGTGACAACTAGAAGGGGAGAGAATCTGTGGTGAGTCCTGATGTAGTGGACCATCATTATCAAGACATCTGGAAGTCATTGAATGCTATCATGGCTTAAGATACATAATTCCAAGGAAATTCCATCCAGATTTCATACACCAAGGACTCATGGGAATTAGATAGCAGTGCAGACTTTTGACTCAATGTATCCTAAAATTTAGAGGCACTGTATAAAGTGGACCCTAAATGCCCTGTCATCATAGACTTATAGGACACAGACATTTGGAGAATCTGTTAGCAATATTATCCTAAATTTGGTCCCGTGGTACACTGCTCCACTGAATAGGCAGTCTTTGTTAATGATTACCAACCAAGACTCACACAAGAATACTATAAAAAGATACTTTTGTTCATAAGCATCTTCCTTTTGTAGACACAATAGAACCCTTGAACTTTTCAGTTTCGCTTCTGTGAAACGTCTCTCATGGAGAACTCTGTTCTCTGAGTATATAAGGGATAAATTCAAATACCGATGGGCAAATAGAAGCCCAACCTTCCATCAGATGATGACGTAAACAGGAAAGATTAGTATCTCTCTCTGCTGGCTTTTCAGTTCCCTTTATAGAAATACAAACAGCACATCCCTGTGTTCTTGCACTCAACTCTAAGCTTAGGGCTAGATGAACTCACTAAATGGTTCGCAGATCCATGAAGCTCATGGCAATGGCTTTCCTAAACAGAGGCAGCCACAGAACAGTCAGTTTCACAGTGTTGTATTTGGAAACGATTCACTTTTAAGACCAGCCGGTGTTCACCAACCCAAGATCCTTGTCCATGGCTCGACTGCTCAACACAAAAGGAGCTACAAGATGGGAGGGCCTTGGAAGTGAGCCCCAGTGACATGCAGTGAGGAAGATGTGGTGTGTGCAAAAAAAAAAAAAATTCTAGACCTCTGTTGGCAGAAATAGAAACGCTTCCCCAACAAAACAAATAGAAAAGAAGACAGAGTTGGTGGAGAAGACAATTCAGGCAGGACAAGAACTTATTCTGCAGCAATGTCACACAGCTCTTAGCTGATGTGGGTGAGAATTTCTGGAAAGAAGCTGTGTCTACAAAGGCTAACTAACTAAAACATCAGTGACTGTGGAGAAATTGGAATGTTGCAGATACAGAGCCCACTTACAGTTTCTTGGGGTTATCCTTAGCCCCTAAAGAGCCATTCCTTGCCCAACTCTGTACCAGGACTTACAGCCTGATAAACACATAAAAACAACTGAAAACCCAATTCTCTACAAATCAAATGGCTAAATATTGCCTGATCTGAGGCCTGTAGCTGAGATTCCTCCGCATGGCTGTAACCCACCTCTCGGTTTAGACCTTTGTTTTCTAAAATGCCTTGGTTTTGACCTTTGTTCTGTTACAATAAAAGCTCCATGAAACTGCTTCCATGTTGGAATATGGAACTTGGAATAACCTGAATATGTGTTCCCCGGGGCCATGGTCCCTCAGATTTGGCTTCAGAATGATTTGTTTCTTATTCCTTTTGAGGTGAGAGCAATTTGTTTTGCGCCAGCAGTGGTGATAGGGGGTATTCCCTCTCTTCTGTGAGACTTAGATTATGTCCAGTAACTGTTCAGTTTGCTCATGCTAATGGGTTACTTTCCTGTAACTGTTTATTTCAGTTTAGACTCCCAATTTGTAAAAGGCTTGGGAAATAAGACCAAAAGGCGGACTTTATAAGACAGGAGGGCCGTCTAAATTTGGATAAATGCTGGCACATTCTCAAAGGTCACAACCCCCTAGCCTTACCAGTACAGGGCATCTTCCTGGCCCTCTCCCCGTCCTCCAGGGCCAGCTCTGTGCTCTTCCTAAGCCCCAAACTTTCTCCCTCTTCTTCCTCCCGGGACCTCATCACCCCAACACAGTCCGTTCCTTCACAGAGTTGTAACTGCTTCTTTGTTTTGCTCAGGCCTTGCTATCTTGCCCCAGGCCTTACACTCTGAACCACAGTGGGGCTGTCAAGTTAATTTTGCCAAACAAAAGGCTATTTAGGCTCTCGTAGGAAACAGAAGTAGCATTCAGCTGTGGGTTTTCAGTAAGTTTCTTCTTCTTCTTCTTCTTTTTCCTTTCCTGATGGGTTTGTCATCCTACAGTTTCAGTGGTTATCTCGGGCTCTTTAGTGAACCCGGGTTTCTTTGTTAACAATGCTTCTGCCACTCCACCAGTCGGCAGATGCCAATTCCTTGCTGCAAATAGCATGTGTCTGCTTCCCCGTGTCAGTGTTTGTAAGAGCCAAGAGGAGCTCTTCTGCCCACTTTGGGCAGGAGGTAAATGCTGCTGAGAGCTACAGCCCACAGAAATCCATGGATGACACGGAAGCATTTCCAGACCTCAGATTTCAACGTGGGCAAGAAAATGAACCCAAGAGCGATCACTGCCTTCCCAGAAATGAGGGGACTCCTGAAACCCTGAGGAGCCTGTTTTAATTTTTAAGCATCAGATGCTCCACATTCCTTGCTCTAAATTTAGTGTTGTGGTATTCAGTTTAAACCACCTTGTGTCCAATAATATACTTCCTGGCCTGCCCTGAGGTGCTCAGGAAGCATTTTATCTTTGATATAATTGCCAGGGTGAATCCCTAGTTATAACACACTCTACAGCATATAAAATAATTGTTGCAACTGAACCCATCACATAAATATTAGTGATTGAAGAGACTGGTTGGGATAAATCAATGCGGGTGACATATTTAATAAACTTTGTATAAACATTGTTTGCAACAGCTATAAATAAAAATTGTCTTTAAGAATTTTACATATTGCACAGTCCTCTATTTGAGGAGAGGGCACTAGCTTGATTTCTAGCTGCAGGAAGTGGCAAGCAAAGGGTTTTAAAACCTGCCCACATTGGGCAGGCAAGCTGAGTCAGGCCATGAGGGTGCCGTTGGCGAGGTGAGCGCCGAGACCTGCCCTCTCTTTGGAGCCATCCATTTACTCGACTCTTGCCATGTGAACCAGCCTGGGTCCAGTACAGCCTCTAGTCAAAATTCCTCTTTCTTTCTCCCCCCACTTCCCACGCCTCTTTTTTTCCGAAAGAAAAGCCACACCATAAATAAAGCATGATGGAGATGGCATTTTACATTCACACAGATTTTGGCATAAATAAATAAAAGGGATTTTGTTCAAGTTCTGTCATCTTTACATGCCATTTTAAAATTATCTTTCCCTACTGGTGGATCATATTCAGTTACACCGTGAGAGTCCTGCTGGCTCCCTCCAGTGGCTGACTGAGCTTTTATGAAAGATGGGGTATCTCTCAAGGCTGTGTGGTCTAGTGGTTCAGTATGCAGTCACTTACTGGGGAGAAAGCATGGTCAAATCCTCTCAGGAACTCAGCCTCACTTTTAACACCCCTCACCATTTTGAGAAAAGTTTGATGGATGCATTGATTTCAGTTAACAGCTTAGTCGTTGTCTCTGATTCAGATTGGTACATTCCACTGTCCCAATTTTATGGACCAAAAGCAAACCATGGGGAGGCAGTGGAGTGACCAAGGATGCTGGACAGTGTGTGATGCCTCGCGTTTGACCCCTGGGCCATAATACTTCCACGATTGTCTCTCAGCCTACAACGGGCCATTTCATGGTCTCTAGTTAATTGTTGTTATATTCCAAAGGATGACAAATCATAGAAACATTTAGGTTCCTTTTCTAAAGAGGTCACACATAATATAGTGTGTTTTGAGCTTTAGTTTTAATGAAATGCCACATACTCACTTAAAAATCCAGGTATGGACTCCGCACTTCCATTGTTTGAAATTTACAACCTTCACATTTATTTTTATTAGTAATATTTCAGTCCCTCAATATATTTCTCTGACATTAATGGAAAAAACATGGTATCTTCAGGAAGCCAAAATAATCTTTCTAAATTCCCATTGAGTTTAATCAACGGCCATGAAATTTAATGGCTAAAGTTCTTGTTATGTATTTCTGGTGTGCTGAGTTCAAATCCCATTGCATTGGGCTCTAGTTAAAATTCATCTAAACTAATTTTTCATTGTGTGATTGTTTTTAATTCTTAATGGTTCACATTAATCTCCTTTTTATTCAGGAAAAAAATGAAAAATTAAAAAAAAAGACAGGAAAAGAACAGTTGAATTAGAGGCTGATATGATGCCTTTTAAAAAAGCAGCCTGAGAATTGAGTTTGCCCTGCAGATGATCATGAGGAGACTTAATTGGGGCTCAACTGCTCGGTTCATAGTTCTTGGGTCTTTATAAAAGCTATGAGTAAAGCTAAATTGTGTGTAATTTGCTATTATTTTTCCAGATAGCTCTTGCTGAAGCATTATTTTTCACTTGCTTTTCTTTCTTCCTTTCTTTTTTCTGCGATCCTGAGAGTGTGGTATCAGGCCTTGTATATACAGCTTGCCACTTGCCCGCTGTCAGAGTGAGAAGAGACAACACTTGTCACTACCAATCTCTTCATGTCTGGTCTCATCTGAGCGACACACACCGCCTGATTTCCAGGTGTTTGTTGAAACCCCGAGTTATATAACATGTCGTCCTTGTACTCAGAATTGAAAACGGCAGCAGCCCAAGGAAGATGCATTTTTAACTTTCCAGGAAACACGAGTGTGTGCAGCACTGATTTAGCCTGCTCTGGATTACTTCAGGGCAGTTTGGGTATAGAACCCTGGAGCATCACAAAGCTGGGGTGGGGCTAGTAGAAAGGGGTGGCCAAGCAGTACTGATAAACATTTTTTTAAACAGACTTTAAAAAAACAGGGCGATATGACCACATAGCTTAAGGTGTCAAACATTTGTAAAATGACTGTGTATGAAAACAAGCAAGAAGGAAACCTTGTCTCTCTGCCTATACTTTCAGCTTACAGAGCAAGGGAAAGCACATTTCAAAACTCTCCAATACATCTGCTACCACCCACCTCTACTGTGACTTATCAGTTTTAAGCACCATCGATTTCTGATAACAGAGGACTAGGATTTTAGCTTTTACACACATAGATGCGCACACACACAATCTCTCTCCTTTCCTGCAATGCTTTTGTACATTTTACAGTTTATCAGTCTGGACTTAAGGTCTTATCTGCAATGTTGTTGCTAGACATACGTATTTTCCCTACAGGTAAACCAGTTGACTCTGCTTACGTTTATTTTCTTTCATTGTGTGTGTAATGAATGCAAGCATACATATTTCTTTTTGTGTATGTGTGTGCATGTGCACACACACAACATACACACACACACACACACACACACACACACACACACACAAGCACGCATGCACACACGCATGCACGTGCATCAGAGGCCAAAGGTTGATGTCCAGTTTCTTCCTCAGACTCTCTCCCACCTTATTATTTGAGTCAAGGTCCCTTACTGAGCCTACCACTCACCTACTTGTTAGACTGGTGGGCCAGCAAGCTTCAGGGATCTTCCTATTTCTCCCTCACCATCACTGGCATTACTGGTGTGCATCACCATACCCAGTTTTTCACATTGGTCCTGAGGACCAAATTCAGGTCCTTGTGTCCATATGTTAAGCATTTACTGACTGAGCCAGCTCCCTAATCATCTATTTTCTTATACAACTTATTTTCTTCATACAGTATGCAATTTCCTTTGCTTCTTTTAGTCACTGAGCCTTGCCACAAAGCACAGTTTCTCCAGCTGTGTGTTGTCATCCCACAAGGGAAGGAGAGAAATATCCTAAAACAATGGCATCAGTATGTTTTCTCAAAGCCCCCAAACCAAAGCTTGTCTGAAAATCAAACAGCTAGTGTGAATTGGAGGTATTTCTGATAGTGCTCACCTGTGTTGTGTCACACAAGTCCACTGCAACCTCGGTTACACATGCACTATGCCATGCAGTACACT